GTTAAAATATTACGCTGTACATAGTCCAAAGTTTAATTAATGCATATGAATTAAAGTTACAATTCTGCATGCAAATAAAACTGCCAGATCTAAAACTGCGACAAAGCAAATGTTCTCCCCATCCTTTGTTTAAAATATCACTGAACTCCATCCCGCTCATCAGCTGTGGATCTTTGGCCCATTGTGCAGTTTGAGAAAATATCCAAACCTCCCTCATGGAAAGGATTTTTTCAAGAACCACTCCACCCCTCTGGAAATTCCAGTTAAGCTTCATACATTTCTTTAATTTTTTTTGGTCTTACCGACCCCCCAGCGCCCCAGGAAATTCTAATCCCTTCTGTGGAGGGAGTATGGATATTTTTTGGAACAGCACATTAATAAGAATGGCCAGTCATTGATCTATCACGTTGATATTTAATTGAACTGACGGCTGAAAAGTAAACAAACATTTGAAATAAAAGTTGCTTCTGAAGACGCAAAAGCACACAGTTTAAAATCACGTAACAAATGTTCCTGGAAGTGAACTGTTCGTTCGTTGTTGCTCACGAAATATATTTCAATACAATGTATGTCATCATTGATGAATACTACTAAAGTCACTGCCGTTACATGCATAGAAAACAAACATTTCATCATACAGATCAAATTCATACAATGCAAAACAAGAGAGACTTACGGCATGGCTAATTCTTCCAATGAAGAGTTCGAGCCGGGTGTGTTGTTGACACTTTCGGAGAAGGCTTCCGTCTGGTCGGCCTTCCTGTATTCCTCATCGTACAACATGGGAAGACGTTTGATCTGCGTCTGAAGGAAGCCAGTTTTCGGTTGATATCCTATTAAAACACAATTTAATGCATCGATCGTGGATAAGTTTAATTCCTAATCGAATTGCTCGTAAAGCCGGTCTAAATCTTCGCGTCATATTCACCTCCATCCGTCTTCTTCATACCAATTGTTCCTCCTGTGTACAAAATCAACACTCTTGACTCTCGCACGTGCTTTGTCATTGTGGTGCTTTCCATGATCTTCGAAGAAACACAAAATAGTTATTCGCAAATATTTACGTTACGCCATCGTCCCGCCAAAGCTTCCGGCAAAACTAAAGGACGCTGAAAGTTCACTTCGCGCGTGTCACATGGCCGCCCGCTTTGCATCACTGGTTTGATGCTGTTGCGTCACGTGCGTCG